TTTAAACTCCACTTTCCCGCACACTTAGATTTTTTCCTTGGCTTCACAAAATGATCCTCCCCTCAAATGATCTGCTTCTCCCTGCTCATAACCTCCAATTTCGTGCACAACCGCTACAGAAACTGTACAAAGTAGTTCTAGCGCCCAGGCGCCATTTTCTCGGGTAAGCCCGGGAAATAACTGGGGCTTAGGCGCCAGTATGTGGCGCCATGACATCACCTTCTCTGGTTTCTAGACACAATCTGACGCCACACCCATTTGCGGCGCCATGGTGCCATGTTGTAGCGCCAAGGTGCCAGAAGCTGGCGCCTAGACGGCTACCTGCTATTTGCTCCATTGCTTCATGTGCCTTCCTTTTGCTTCGTTTCAGCTCCAATTTGCTCCAAATCTTTTACATTTTATACTTGCGACGAAAACGTAGAAATACTTTCCTTTAAAGTGCAATTTTATCAAAAATAAGTGTTAAATATAAAGGAAAATTTAGCATGCTACCACACATGTCAGTTAACCCAAACCACAATAGGTAAGCCCAATATTATTATTGAAAACAAATAGACAGCTACAACCAAAATACTTGAAAGAGAAACCAACAATAAACACGACACGTGACACACAAAAGTAGGAAATAACAATATAATGACTCATGACACACGACTGAGGCGGATCTTGTGGGGTGGGGTGGTGATAATTGAGAGTTTGGGCATTCGAAGAGGTAGCAAAAGGTGGTTGAATGGCTAGATGGTGGAGTGGCAGCAAGGGAGAGATGGTGCCAAGAAAGGGGAGGGGAGAAACTGTCGGAACAACAAAGTGACGGGCTACCTTTGGTGGTGGTAGCAAGGGCGAGGGGCTAGACAACGAGTAAACAACATGAAAAGTGTTGTTTTGAGTTGCGACAACGGTGTTGGTCGGTTAGACAACAATATAACAATACACAGTAGGATTTCTGGTTGGTTGCAACAAAACGTGGAGGATTAGAACTTCGATGCAGCAAAGAGTAAGGAGGGGAAGTCATTGTCAGCAGTTGGAACTACAAAAACGACAAAAGAGGCTATTTCAGGCTGTTTTAGCAGGGAAGGGGCAGCCGAGAGGGATGTGGGAGGATGTAAAAGCAGATACGGGAAGATAATCACCACCTCGGGGGAGAGATACATTTGGAGCACTACCCAATCTCTTGCCAAAAATTGAAACCTCAATCGCATGAATCAAATATATATGCCATAGATAATTAGAATTGTGTCCGCTTTTAAAAAGATGCCCCAAATCCACGTAAGGAAGATCAACCGACCTCAATTTGGTGTTCTAAATTGGTCATAAGTCGTTGGTAGAGTTTCGTTTTAGGTCCATTTTGCGAATCAGTCGCAGGACCATATCATGAGTCATAGAAATAGTCCTGTGGGGAGCTCCCACGCCAGTTTCCTGGGTGGGGGAGCTTTGATCTCTTCTGTCGAAGTTTCTATTTTCTCGTAGTAGTCAAGTAGACCACGTTGTAAGTAGTGGAAATATAGCAATATCTCCATAAGTTAATCCTGCAGACGTTATCGTTTCGAAGCACATCCTAATATAGTAAATATCTATCCTTTTTTGACAAAACTTGAGCTGGAGTTACATGTAGATAGATATTCTTACGAACCAAAGCTTTGAGTCATTAAATCTGTACTTCTTCCACCCCTCGTACTTGTTTAAGTGTATCTAGTAAACAATTATGTAAGGGGATTCAACTCAGGGGTGAAATTTGTGACAGAATGATCAACTCTAACTAGCAACCACTCATGAGAGATCTCTTCTTTCTTTGCAAGGACTTGGATTCCACTATATGATGTTTTTTCCTTTACAAAGCCTAAGGCGGTTTCCAACGCTTTGGTTCATCTATCATGCTTGATCATCTATTAGAGGATATACTACTGAACTGAATTTAATACCCTAATGAATCCTTATGGTCATTCCAGAAGCAGCTCTAAATATTCTTATCCTTAATGTGTGGGACCTTCCTCGTAAGGGGCAATTCAAGTTGTAGGCGGTGTATCTGAAATTTTGACATCCTCTTATCTGAAGCTGTGTCGAGTATCAACTCCTCAAACTCATGGCCTTTTTAGACCTCCAATGCCTGTCCTATTGATGCTCATCTCAATGCCTGTAAAATGTTCATTTGAAGCACCACAATCTTATACTCTGCATAAACACCTATTACCTCGAACTCATTAACTTTTGAAATAACTATTGTCAACCCAACTGAAATTTCTCTCCTGGTTTCAACTGGACTCGCTAAAGTCTTTTCCTTGTCGGGTGGACGTTGAGAATACTCTCTGAAATATTTATTTTTTATTGGATCACTATTTATTTCTTCAATTGTTCCTTGATTTGTGAGAGGTATCATTCTCCTGGTTGTGCAATTAGATTTGGTATGCCCAAATCTATGTTATTTGAAACACTTCTTGGCTAGGATGAATTTGAGAATGTAGATTAGTTTTAACTATTCTCCACTCTGATCTAGTGCCTCCTCATGCGGGGTCTGCTTGGACTTTTCCCTCAGTGTACTATTGTTGTAAGATCCCGGGGTTGAATTTTACTTGTAAGATGTGGTGATCATTCGTTCATGTTGTCACTCCACTTTTAAAGCTAGAGTATGTACATCTTGTATGTAATGAACTAATAGGTACTTACGCTACATCTCTCATTTCATATTAGACCAAGTAGTGATCGTATCCTTCCTCTAATAATGGCGTTGGTGCTTCAAATTTTCCACTAAAATAATGCACTTTTCTTTAACTTGTTGTAGAGTAGTTTCACCATTTCGTCCAATGAGATGTCTTGATACTCAATGAAAAGTTTCACAGTCTAAAGACACTCGATGAACTCATCCGAATCCAAGTGCAAGTCAAAATGTGGCAAATCCACTGTTTCCTCAAAATCTTGGCTTCTAAGATAGTTTAGATCAATTCTTCGGGATAGAGACTTCATTTCTGAAATCTCTAACAGACACTTCACCTCTGTATACTCGAATAGACACTTCATCTCTGTATCTTTTAATAAACACTTCATCTCTCTAATCAAATAGAGTTCAGGTGAGCCAATTGGGTGGTCTCCTTTTTTAATTTTTATCAAGTTGTTGTAGCATTCGATGGAGTTGTCGCTATATCTCTTTTATGGTAAATTCTTGATTGACGTTTGACACTTGTGTTGGTGGTGGCGTGGTTAGGGTTTATGTATGCGAAAGAGGGTATATTGGGATGTTTTGATTGGAAAAGCAGGGGAAAATTTTTTTCAGGGAGGTTAGGTGGAGTTAAGTTTTGATATGACGGATGCTAGAAACTCTAAGATAAGATTAAAGTTAAGCTAGCTCTGATACCAAATGATACTGGATTTAACCACAAAATTAAGCCCAATAGTATTACTTAAAGCAAATATGCGATTGCAACCAACACACTTGAAAGAGAAAATAACAGACATGACACTCAACACACTGAAATAGGAAATAACAACAAAACTCGCGACGCACTAAAATATGAAATAACAACAATACAACTCATGACATGGCTAGGGCGGAACTTGGGGTGAGGGGGGTGGCGATCGACGAGGGTTTGGATCTCCAAAGGGGAAGCAAATGATGGTTGGAAGGTTGAATGTTGGAACGTAGCAAGGGGGCGATGGTGGCAGCTAAAGTGAGACAAGATGCTATCCTGGGCAATTAGAGTAAGGTTGAGTGGTTGGACAATGAGTAAACAACAGGGAAAGTGTTGTACTGGGTTGCAACAACAATGTAGGGTGGTTAGACAACGATAAAACAACAAGGCGAGGGATTTTTGGGTGGGGACAACAAAAGGTGGAGGATTAGAACTGCGATGACATTGAAAGGTAGGGAGGGGAAGCCATTGTTGGCAGTTGGAACTGTAGAAGACAGCAAAATAGGCTATTTCAGGTGGCTGCAGGAAGGAAGGGGTGGCTGGGAGCGATGTTGGAGGATGCGTAAGGGGATAAGGGAAGATAATCACCACCTTCGGAGAGAAATAAAGCTGGAACACTTCATAATCTCTCAGATACAACCCTTAAAGAGAGAAAATAGATCCGGACATCATTCCTAAACGAACTTAATCTCAAAACTGACACCCTATACTCATGAATCAAATATATAGGCCCTATGTAATTAGGATTGGACTCACTTTTGAAAGAAGGCACCAAGTCCACGTTAAGAAGGTCGATCAGCCCTCAATTTGGTGCTCCTACCCCGACCCAGGCCATTGGGTGAGCTCCGCTTCAGTCCAATTCACAGAATGGTTGAGAGACTATAGCATGAGTCGAATAAATAGTTCCATGAGGAGCTCCCGTGTCAGGGGAAGTATATAAAGGTGCAAATTCTCATTAAAAAGGAATTTAGTTCTCTCAAAATATTCTCCACTAATGATGTTTTCTTTTATTTATATTTCTCTTCTCATTTAGAGATTCCAATTTTATTTCTTTTTTATTTATATGTATGTTGTGCAATGTAATATATGGAAGAAGTGGGAATAAAATTATTTTCTAAATAATACAGTTATATATTAAGTTTCATGTAGTGTTTTTGTTGAATTGTATTTTAACCCATCGTCCTTAACTTTTTGCCTTTGATTTTTATTGAAAAAGATAATAATAACATTATAGTCTAGAGGCAAATAATCTTGTCTACAACTCATTCAAATCTTACAAGAGAATTTCGAACCTTGGTCATATTGTAGCTTTTGAGAGCCATAGCTTGTTCCATTTTTGTTTTAATTGTATTTTGTTATTATTTTATTGACATTTTTTTCTTAGTCAAAACGTTGATGCAATCTTAAGCTTTGATATCATATATGATAACCACTGATTCGAATTCAAGTATCATGCACAAAATCACACACTCAAAATAAAAATTTAAGTGAAGTTCAATTTAAACAAGCATTCACCCCTTGTCATAAAAGTATAGAAAGTACAAAAATTTCATGTCAAATGATAATTCACTTCACTTAATATTTTACATACAAGTTTAGGTTCATGCATTACTTCGCTTCATTTGGATTCGTGGAGGAGAGCTGGAGCATGTTCTGGCGTTTCATGCTTGTATCATTAGCTGCAGCAATTGTGGAGTCATTGCCTATCCATTCAGAGCTGGATGACAACTTAACTGTGTCATTGACGTCTTTGCTTGTTGGTGCTGTTGTTTTCTGATGTTGAACCTGGAGTATTCTATTCTAATTGAATAAGGGTATGTTTTGTCTCATGGGAACCCATGAAGGTTTCTGAGTCGTAATAAGCAGAGCTACCAGTTCTTCATGACTGTACTGAAGCTGGATTTGTTTTTCTGTTTATTTTATTGTCTGTGGCTATTTATTTTTGAAATATTTCAGGAAGTTGAATTTTTGAGTGATTCTCTTTTTCATATAGTTTTTTAAGTTTTGAGTGCCTCTATGATGTCGGAATTGGGCGATCTTAAGCTTATTTGATTCATTTTATCTAGCCACTCAATTTGATTATAAGCTGGTAAGATTTAGAAATTATTTTGCTTTTAATGTACTAAAGTTTCTTATTACATTGCTGGTGCTTGATATAGAGGCTCATTTATGTTGTGAAGAAACTGCAGAATCCGATTCTAAGAGATCTGAAGCAAAATATAGAATGAAGCACACAAAGTAATAAAACACTGAAAAATGCAGAGAACATCAAAATATTATGTGAAAAACTGAGAACAGTAAAAATTTATAGAGCCCACACCTAGGAATCCTCTATGAAGAAATAAGAAGAAGTGTACCGATTCCACCACACTCAAGCTTCTCTATAGTCTTGGAATACAATAATAATCCTTCCTCTCACCTTTACGCAATAGAAATCGAAATTCAATCCTTCTTCGCACTCGCTCGCATATAATATCCATTTGCTCGCACATCTTACCGCAGTCAGAGGCAAATTTGAAGTCCCAAATCGTAAAAAAATGGTTATAGACGCTTAGGCGTTACCGTTGGGCATTTGGTTTCCGGGTGTTCTGTTTCAAAAGAATTTGATGAGAGCCTAGGAGACCTCATTGGCGCCCCGACGCTCTGTTATGGAGACTAGAGTGCTGCCCAGCACTAGTACATTAGCAAAATGTTCTTTGCCCAATAGACTCTACACACAACAATTGAGACTTGATCAAATCTTTTTTTGGTGTTGTTTGGTTGGTTTTGACACAGTGTATGGTTTGGCTCTAGGTTTTCCAAAATCAAAATTTGGATGATGCTAAAATTGATTTTGAAAACTTTTAATTTGAACATGAATTGAGACTCATGCTTAATATAGAAAATGTTTTAGTAAACAACTAGTTGCATTCTTGGACCATTATCACTAGTCCATTGCCGTCTAACTTCTAATACCCAACCACTATCATTCGAACACCACTCACCTATACTGCCCAACCACTATCATTCAAACACCACTCACCTATGATCTATAAACCTCCATGTTAAGATTTATATCTAATGTAGGGTCCTATTTGTAAATAGATGAAATCTATGGATTTATTTGTAAATATTGTAACCTATAAGGCTCTATGTAAGCCATTTATAATGAAATTAAGGAAATTTTTTTTAGCAAAGCAGAGACAAACCCTAACACTAGCGAATGCCACCGTACCACTACAGTTCCGCCTCTATCCCTTTCGATCGGCCACTGCATCTGAACGAACGAGATAGGAGCTACTCGGGCGGTGCTGGATCGTGACAGCAAGTTTGAGCAACTGCGGGATCGCGACAGAAAAGGTCGAGCAGCTACGAGATCACAACTGGATACCTGTACATGTCAAACACAGGCAACATATCAGGACATATATATATCATCAGAAATAATAAAAGGAAGTTTTAAAAAATCTAAATAATGTGCCCACGCGCCGATGTATAAGGATATACAACTTTGTCGTGAATAGCTCTCTGTCAAGCTCGTTAGCCTGTATACATGATGAATTTTGAGTTGGAACTTTTAGTGGATTTTAATTGATTAAATTAAGTGTATTTACCTCATATTTATTTTGGTTTAATTTGAGTTGATTATTGTAATTATTCTTTTTATTATAAAAATTATTGTCTAGATGGTCGTCGGCTTTACAGGCCCCCAAATAGTGTGGATTTGGGCACAAAAGGGTTTATTTGAAAATTTTCAACGATACGAACATACTGGTGGAGTCTATTTTGAAAAATAATGATTTGTTGAAAATTTTGTATGTGAGACATTTTTTCTTGTATGGAAATTCTAAAAGTAAAATTTTACGTACAAATGATGTTTGTTTACCATCAAACTGACATAAAAATGATCAAATGACCGTGCAAACCAAAACTTTATTCTAAATTTTAAAAATTATCAAAGAAAGGCTTTGATAAGTCATGCATTACTCTCATAAAAGTTCTTGGTGTGTTTCATGTACAAACGACATTACTCTCCACACAAACCTTCATCTTGAACGTATTTTCCCATTCATCACCTTCTCTAATCTGAATTTGGTGGTACCACCTATGACCATCTATTTTAAAAAAAAATAGATGTGCCACTCAACCGGTCCAATAATTCATCTAATATAGGCTTTGGAAAATGGAATTTAACTGTGATTTTATTTATACCTTTGCTATCAATGCAGATTCTCTATGATATATCTTTCTTAGGTACGATAAGAGTAAGAATGACACAACGGCTAACGCTACGTCGAATGAGCTTTTTGGTAACAATTCATCCACAATTTTCTATAATATTTGGTGCCCCTTTGGTGCCATTTTGCAGTGCCATCGTCACTGCAAGCAGGCGAGCCTTAGTTTTATAAACCAATAATATATGAGCCCCCCAACATTAATGCTGTTATTTTGACCCCCAATTAATGAACTAAAATAAAAGGGCACTTTTGTAATGTGGTACCGCTCACCTACCACATCTCACCTACCGTTCACT